GGGCGGATCATTCAGCCCAGCCGTCGTGCCCCTGAATGGGGACCCATCGCCACACGGATAACGGACGTCCTATATAATGCCCTCCTTTCCTCACTTTCACACTAGCCAGCTCATGCCAAAACACTTAACTTGACGTTTCTTCTCTAACCAACGATGGTCAAGCCACAGTTCAGACAGCTGGATGTCGAGTCTATGGGAAGGCTTTACGAAAAAATGGAGCGCAAGCAGAAGCTCACACAATTGAAACGCCAACGAGAGCGTGAAGAGCAGCAGCAGCCACAATCACTCCTCCCACCAACCAGCCCAACTACGCTTGAACGAGATATCAGAAATCTAGGGGTGGCGCAAGCCCAAATGATCAGCTATACGTCAGGTATGCTTCCATCGCATTCCTCCTTTTAGGCAATGACTAACGATCAATAGGCGATTTCCATAACTTTCCTGATTTCAACCCCAACTTCAATCAGTTCAAAAGTCTCGACACGGCCGAGATCGCACACACCACACAGGCCTCGATATTACCCTCTGAGATGGATAATATCACGACGGCAACGACCGGATCCTTCTCTCCCGGTAATATCCAGCTGCACCCGAAACGCTGGTCGCCTCGTACACCCTTACCTGACCATCCTACGAAACTCGCCTCTCAGAGAGAGGCAAATTCTTCGCTTGAAGACCTTTCCGTGGCTTCCGGCCTGGTTAGACGTACAACAGGACAACTCCGCCCAGTGAGTTCTCTTGCTAGTGACAGGAACATAGGTGAGCGACCCGTATCCAAGATGCGAAGTAGCTTGGGACTAAGGAACATTGTCCAGTCGTTGCGGATGAAGAGATGAGCAAGAGCGGCGAACCCCGGCAAAGCTGTGATGCTGATGGCTTGGCCAACGATGGAATCAGTAGCTCTCACGATGATACCCATAGTGAGACCTGTACTACAGAGTTGGTGGTCCTAAGACCCGAGTCTACGTTTCAAGATTCGGCGGAGATGCCCGCATCACAGATCCTCTCCAGAAGCTATCCCGCAATGCCCGACTCCACGGGGAGTCCGTCTTCCGCAACAAGCTCTGCCCCCAGTCTCTTAATTGACGCTTCCGCCGTCCCGCTGGACAGGGTGGAAGACCCCGAAGCAGAGGTTATCGCACTTCCTACTCCACCCTCCGATCACGCCTCCGTCTCCCTGCAAGGTGGTGATGCCATCATCAGCCGGGGAAAACGAGGTCGTGGGGCTATCGAAGACGACTGCGAGAGCCATGACCTTCGCTCGTCTAAACGAAGGAGATCACGAAATGCTGGCAGCGAGACAGCATCGCCGGCTCCACAAGCCAGGACTTTGCGCGCATTGCCATCTCGACAGAGGCAACGACCGCCAATCATGACTGAAACGACTTTATCTCTCCTTGGTCGTCGCTCTTTCGAAAAAACTGGCCTCAAAAGTTCCAACCGAGTACCCTCCCCTCCTGTTGCTACCTCAGTGGGTCTATACCCAGTCGCATGCCATACGTGCGGCTTTTCTGCCGAACCTTTGCTGCGGATGAGCGACACCGTCCAGGCTATCGCTGGGAGTATGACTGATCTGTCTAACAGTCAAAAGGGATTGGACATTCTTCACTTGTTCGTTGGGTTCATCAGGGACCATGCCACCAAGCTTTCACACAACGCAACGAGCAGGAGCAAGAGCAGTTCCTGTGGCGTAAGGAACCATGATCACACAGTGGAGGCAGTCATTGGGCCGTCAAACGCCGAGACAGTCAAAAACGACGAGAGCTCGGATAACTCAGATAATGACAGCGAGGGCGCCAGTGGAAGCGAAAGCGAAAGTAGCAGCTCCGATCTCAGCGTCAGCCCAGAAATTCCCGGAAAAAGGGCTGGAATGACTAAGCGTCTACGTTGGACACACTTGGACGAACTACGTCTCCGCGCATGGATTCAGGAGGAAAAGGAGTGGTCGTGGATTGCTGGGAAACTGGATCGAAGCGAGCAGGCTGTTCTTCAGCATTGGAAGATTATGGTTAAGCAGAAGAAGAGGCCAGGAAAGAGGCAAATGAGATAGGCTAGTTCCCGGCATATGCTTTTATTAGATAACTGTTATGTCTTCCTCCGTACTCATTCTTGTCACTCTCCGTTCTTGGCTTTATCACGAATTGTGTTCTTGGAATTAGTGTCGATTGACACGTGGCTTCCTCTATCCAGGCTGTACTGTTCAGACCGAAAGCCTGCCCAAGTGGACTTTTGCGTTCGCTTGAGCGCATTCCTGCGCAGGCGGCTCTGCTCGAGCGTGTTTATGCGTGGGCAGCTTTGCCTGGGCGGCATTCTGCATGAGCAGGCATGCCGAAGCAGTCTTTTGCGTGTGCAGCAAGCGTGCTGACAAATGCATGAGGGTCGTGCCTGCTTGAGTGGAGTGTATATAAAGTGTTTTTGTGAAAATCTTTGCGTGATGAGGCCATAAAGCTATGTCTGAAAGAAAAGCCTGGAGGACTATCTGACTTTGTAGACGTTGTCAAAGACCATGAATCAGGAAGAGATCTTGGCTCTGACATCTGCTAGTTTGAGACTGAGTCTTGGCAGCGAACAGAACTCGTAAAGTTGAAAGATGGCACGGCCGATTGCAATGATCGAAACTACCCGGTTACATGCAGCCCCCCAAATGTGTCAGGGAAACTGGCTAGTCGGACGTTGTCCACCGAGCTTTTCTTTTCGTGAGATCCTTCACCTCAGATGGTTTTCCCTTGTCCCCGACCGAGTGCGGTTGCAAGTTTGAGGAGTGAAATTTGATGCCCAAGGTTTCTTTCAAATCCTCAACGCTGGCCGCGATCTCTGAAGCATGGAGTCTAGAATCGATTCCGGGCTCTAGCATCCTGAAAACGGTCTTTTCCACCATATCAGACCGATTTAACCTGACCCTAGCGCTAGCGACATTATCGAGCCAGCCCAGCAAGCGCTCACGAGCTTCCCCGTGTCGATTTGTCACATTACGGATGAGCCAACCTCTTGTGGTCTTCTCCGGAAGAGTAATCTTTCCCAGCACATAAAGCATTGTGACACCCAAGGCCCATACGTCGCCCGGGGTCCCTCGTGTTCGTTGTACAATAAGGTCAGGCGGGACATACCAAGGGGTACCACCGGGCAGCTCCTTCTCATCCATCGTCGTAGCTAGTCCAAAATCGAGAA